TACCATCATTCAACAGGTCAAATATATATTCTCTTTTTTGTTCTTTTACAATCATGGTTTCCCTTTATTATTGTGGGTTTGAAATGCTGGAATTGCATGAGCTGTATATTCGTTTGTTTCTTTCCGTTAGTGATAATAATTAATTGGTACGGTTATCTGCGCATAGCAAGAAGGTACACAAATACCATTTTTTTACGCATAGTGTCATCAGTTCCTGGGCCAAATTGTAACCATTTTAATTTTTCATTACATTGCAACACCTTTTATCTTTTTTTATAACCATTTTAATTTTTCATTCACATTTATGTTTGTTTGGTTTATTGGGTCAATTCCATTGTATGCTTTCATTTTCAATTTCATCTTTTTACATCATCGAATTCATTTTTCGTGTTTCATACTATTAATAGTCTTTTTATTTTCGTGTTTTCCTTTCTGTGTTGATGGTTTTTATAAAGATAAAGAGGTTCTTTTTTGTTTTTTTTCTCTCTCTCTTTTGGTACGGCGTGGTTGTGTCCATTGTCGGTTTCTGTTTCCTTTCACAAAGAATAAAATCAATTCTTCACCTCCGTTTATTCATTCACACTCGACAATATCTTCATGTTTTATGTTAAATTTCAAAAATTTAATTTTAATTAATTAAATTTAAGGGAATACATGGGTTTGGTTTAAATAAGTAAATAAATTATATTTAAAACATATAAATATTTTATATTCTATCTATAATCTATAATCTATAATCTATCTATAACATCTATAATCTATAACATCTATAACAATAAATAAAGGGAATACATGGGTTTGGTTTTCACTTTTTTTAAGACATTTATATCCTTTAATTGTTAACATAATTACCAATTAAGTACATATAAACAGTTAAGCAACACGTAATAACTGAAAAAAAAACTGTCACAACCCATAAAAACTGCCAAGGAGTCTGTTTACCAATTTATGTTTACCAATTTTGAATGTTACGTTTCTTTCTTCTCTCCACATTCACTTTCATGTCATCAAGAAAACCATCCATACGTGTTGTTCTATATGTATATAATTTCAAAGGTGAAAATTGATTTTGCATGTATTTGAATAATTTATTACTGTCATTGAATACTGTTTTATTTATTTATTATTCATTATTCATGCTTTAATTTGAATAATCATTAATTTATTTAACATCATGCTGGCTTTCTTTAAACCCTTTCTTTTCCCTAATGTACATACAGTGAAGAATATCTGATTCTGAACATTTCTGAACCTCTGAACAATATCTGATTTTGTGGGAAAAGCTTCTCAGTCTTTCAAGGAGATAAACAACAACGGTGAGAATTTTTTTTTTATTTTTTTTTCACGTTTGATGATTGCGCCTTCACGATTATGGTTTTTTCAATTCCATGCTTCTTAAATTTCGGATTCAATTCTGTCTTTTCTGTTTTGATTAGGGCTATTTCATTTTCATTATTGTAGTTTTGAGATCCTTTAGTAGCAGTAAATTCAAACCCTATATTGAAAAATCTTCGTTTTCATGGTGACATTTTTATAAATTTGAAAAATAATAGGTATATTCATTGTGAGAAGCTATGTACGAAGTTTTGGTAGGCCATGTTTGTGAATCTTATGTAAAATTTAAAATTTAAAATTTAAAATTCAAAATTTAATTTAAAATTCAAAATTCAAACTTTAAACTTCAAAATTTAAAATTTAAAATTTAAAATTTAAAATTTAAAAATTAAACTTTAAAATTTAAAATTTAAAATTTAAAATTTCATATTTCAAATTTAGTAATTAAAAAATTAAATTTAAATTTTAAAATATAAAGCTTAAAATCTAAAATCTTAAATCAAAAATCTAAAATCTAAAATCTACAATCTAAAATCTAAAATCTAAAATCTAAAATCTAAAATCTAAAATCTAAAA